CAGTTCTTGGGTTGTGCCAGCATGATAAAGATGGAACAAACTGGAGACAGTTTTTTGATGCTTTGCTGGAGATGCCAAGTCCTACAATAGTCAGTTAGCTTTGCCATGGCCTGATTTAAGATGGCATCAAGCTTGTGAGTTGTCGGGGCTTAGATACTGCAACAGATTCATCTGGGTAAACAAACTTTGTGACTCTGTTGTTAGCAGATCATTGTTGTAAAGGTCAAACAGGGTTGGAGAAAACACAGAGCCCTGTGGTAACCCTTTTCTCTGTCATCTCCAAGCACTCATCTTCCCCCCGCCCCCCACCATGAACTCTGAACTGCCTCTCACAGAGGGCCTTGGTATGAAACAAGAGACCTTTCTGATGCAGGCTGCAGCATGCAACACACTTTTAAGTCCTATCGTGCAGCGAGCCAATTAAAGTTCACTTGTTGTGTGTTACTTAAATTACCATAGTGACTAGTAGCTCCAGGTGTGGACTAGAACCTCGTTGTGCTAGGTGCTGTATAGAAACAAAAGAAAAAGATGTTCCCGGTCCTCAAACAGCTCACAATCTAAATAGCCGTACATTATTTTGACATTCAAATTTGACACATTCTGGAAAGTCAGCAGAATAGAAAACCTTTTGTGTATTTTTTTTTTTGAAAAAAAAAAGTCTTGTCTTCTCTTTACAGTTCAGGATAAATGAACATTAAAAGACTTCAGGGAAACATACAGGGTCCTGTTCTAATTATCATGTACTGCCCATTGGGGTCTAGTGCAAGTGTACTTTTTAAACACCTCAACTGAAGAGTTCTTTGTCAGTGCTTATGTGACGGAGCGCAAAGGCTCTGCCACTGGACAGACGTGGCAGCCGGGGATTCCAGCTGCCGGGCCCATTCCCCACACCCGTGCGGCGCATGCTCACGCCAAACGCCGGGCGTTTTAAACACTGGCAGCGCAGCTGGTGGGTGGGGAGGAGAGGATGGTGCTCTGGAAGATGGGAGGAGAGCTGGAGGCGACGGGGGACGTACCCGACTGGCAGGACAAAGAGCTGGCGCGGGCGTTTTACACTGGCAGCGCAGCTGGTGGGTGGGGAGGAGAGGATGGTGCTCTGGAAGATGGGAGGAGAGCTGGAAGTAACGGGGGACGTACCAGATAGGCAGGATGAAGAGCCGGCGGGTCC